ACACAGGGTAAACAGCCAGCAATGGTATTACAGTACAACAAGGCTATCATTTTCAATAAGTACACAGATTAAATTCTTTTTGCAGTTAGCCACACCCCAAACAATTCATTAATTGCACATTACATAGTTGATTTGAGTTATGATATACATTTATTTGCTTTTAACCATACACTGTTTAAATGGAGTGCACACATTTTTCACATATGTAGGGTTAAGTAAATAATTTCAGTTTATATTAATCATTTTTTCTTGTGTCCATGTGGAAGAGTCTGTCCTGGGGAAGAAAGTGTGTGCCAAGGTGGAGCAGTTATTCCTGTGGCATGCCAATCAAGCCGTTACCACTGTGCTGCCATGTTGGAGGGGGATTTTGGTTTATTTGTTTTACTTGTAGTTGTAATTAGCGTCCATTTTTGTTTTCCCCTTTGTGTGTAAATGGTTTTGCCAAGCCACCTATATATGTTCCCTTGTGTCTCATTTCAGTTAGGTCAGTTTTTGAGTTCATATTCTGTTTGTTGTTATGCTGTTTTGAGTATAGTTATATTTTGTTGACCTCTTTTTAGGCCTAGTTGTTAAATTCTTGGTTTCTATTGTTTGATATTTTTGTAAATAAAAAAAGACCCTATTTTTCAACAAATCCTGTCCCTCATTGCTTGACTGTTTTGGTCCCTGACACCTTTATTTAATTAACATAATGTGCTATTACACATTCAAAACGCCAAAAATGAGGGAATAACTTTTTGTAAAGATGGTAAATGACCTGCTTGTATAGTGCCTTTCTAGCTTCCGACCACTCAAAAGCGCTTTTCACACACATTCACACAGCGCTGGCAAAGTCCATCGAAACAGAAACTAACTCATTCATAACACAAGCACACACCGATGCTAATGCATCGAGACAATTTGGGGTTCAGTATCTTGCTCAAGGATTACTTCGACATGTGGCAGGAGGAGCCGGGGATCGAACCAACAAAAAACCCTTCTGATTGGGGACGACCCGCTCTTGCCTCTGAGCCACAGCTGCCCTAGATGTGTTCCATTGTCAAAAAAACAACCTGACACAGATTGTTGTGACCAAGTGAGAAGCCACACCATGGTCTCTTTTCTAAATTCAAAACTTTGATCAAATTAAGCTGAATATAAATCAGATACATTAGGACTTCACCAATTACATTCTTGTCTTACATGCCGGGCTCAAAATGTTTGTCATCGGTTGTTGCAAAATGCATTATGGAATACTTGCTACCACACGTCGAAGTTTTCCCAGTGTCTCTGTACATACAGACATCAAATTATTAATATCACACCTTCCTAGTTGTGATACACAAAACCAAAAAGCAATGACCAAATATTATGGCAAATGCACTTTTTACGGAGCTGCTCTCTAAATCTCATTGTACTGTGTACAATGACAATAAAGGCTTTCAATTCAATTCATAGCACCAGGATGCACTATGGAAGAAGGCAAGCCGGTGGAGGCAATGTGATGCTTTGGGCAATGTTCTGCTGGGAAACCTTGGGTCCTGCCATTCATATGGATGTAACTTTGACACATACCACCTATCAGAATCAGAATAATAATCCCAGGGGGAAATTATTTAAATTTAAATTATTTAAATACCAAAGCACTGTTGCAGACCATGTACACTCTTTCATGGAAATGGTAAAATAGAAACTTTAAAAGCAAAATAATAACTATAAATCTGAATCAGATATAAAACTCCTACCTATATATCAAAGCGAGTATAGAAACTGCATTAGCAGGAGTTCACTAATGCCCTTAGTTTCTATACTTGGTTTGATATATTTGATTTTAGTAACAAAATTCGGGAACTGAGTCAAAAACATGAAGACTAGCAGCACTTTGACATAGACCAGAAGGATGTTGAAAAGGCCTTCCTCTCAGTGAGAGTAAATAAGGGCCTGACAACATTCGTTGTCGTTTACTTAAATCTGAGAGTTCTATATTTCATCACATTAAGTCTCTACAGGCACAGCATGTACCTAAGGTTTGCAAGGATGCTGTGGTAGCCTGTTCCCAAATCCAGTTACCCTAAAACTATGAATGATTTTGGACCTCTTACATCAATTTGAATGAAAATCTTGAAGACTGGTAAGGTCAGACGTTTTAAGAAAAACTGAGCATGCACTTGATCCCATTAAGTTTTCTTATAGACCACACAGAGGTGTGAAGGATACCAGTCACTTTGTTGAATTTAATTCTTAAACATTTAGAAGGAAATTTGTCTCATGCTAGACTTGTATTTGTGGGTTTCTCTCTTTTTTAACACAATCCAAACTCATATTTTAGCCAGTAGGCTTTCAGAACAATTTGATTTGAATAATAATCTTGTGGGCTAGATTCTGGACATTTTAACTAACAGGACACAAAGAGTGAGGATAAATGGAACTCTGTCGGATCAAGTTTTCTTCTACACTGGCTCTCCACAAGGATGTGTGCTTCACCCCTGTTATTTATCCTCTAAACCAATATGTTTTAAAGCAGAGGGGAAAACAGAACCATTTTAAAGTATGCAGATGACTCTGTTGTTGTTAGTCAAGTCCAGGACAATGAGAGCACCAATGGTCCAATCATCTATGAGTTTTTGAAATGGTGTGATCCTCCTATCTTATAACATATCTAAAGTGCAGTGTTATACATATACCTTGGGACAATTATTGACTTAAAACTGAACTTTGGCCAAAACTTTGAAGCCGTGTACAAAGAGGCACCAGCGTTTATTTTGTTTGAGGAAATCCACATTGACAAAACCATGATGAGCTTGTTTTATTGTGCTTTTATTTAGTTTAATCTTTTTCTTTAGTTTAATGGTTTGGAAACCTTTCTCTAAAGATCAGAAACTTCCTCAATCAGATTGTTAAATGGTGTTGTACGCTAAATTGTGAGTCACAGCTTAATCCAGAAGCCCTGTACACCAGACAGTTACAGCAGATAACCAGCTCGACTTTAAATGACGACTCCTTCCCTTTTTACAGTGAATTTCAGCTGCTTCCTTCTGGACAGAGGTTTATAGTCCTAAGATGTAGAACAAAGAGGTATTAAAAAAAACAGCAGCTATCATTCAGAGCAACAGGGTACTTTTTATTTGACCCTATTTATTCTAGTGGTTATTTATCTTAGTGGTTTTTTATTGTTCTCTCCTCGTAAGTCCTGATTTTTAGAGCCTGGTGCACTTTTACTTCATCACGTTTGTATTATATTTGTCTATTGCCTGAGTTGTTTGTTATTTATACTTTTGTCAAAAGGAATGCCTTGTCTTTAACTGCAAACCAAATCTACCCTTGCGTACAAATAAAGTAACCTTGAACTTTGACTGACTGACAGACAGGGTTGCCAGCAGTAAGCTGAAAAACTATTGGACTTTGAGTGCTGAGTCAAATTGTGTGGCTCAACATACTTTACTGTGGATTTGGTATTTTGTTTACTTCATACATAGGCTTATATTGTGTTTTCATATAGAAAGTTTATAGAAAGTTCAAGTCCCCTCAACACCCCTCCCTCAAAATTGAAAAAATAATTTAATTCTGTATTATTGTTTATCTTAGTATTTACAGGCCTAAAAGTATTTACAGTACATAAATATAGTAAGTTAATATATAGTAAATGTAAATATAGTAAGAT